TTTTTTTTTCAAAACAATAATTATTCTGTTTTTTTTTCAAAACAATAATTATATTATCAACTGAAAAACTCATAAATGGTAAATTCAAGGTGTCAATGGACATCACAAAGATGGGATCAACCCCTCTTAGAATTACACAGTCTGACCAAAGAGGTGCAATCACAAAAGAACTCCATACAAGGTACTAAATTCATACACAACTGGACCAAAAATGAAAAATCAAAAGAAAAAACAAACAATGCTACTAAACTCACACCTAAATGATATAATAAAGTCCTTCCCGGCCACCGCCAAGCTTCACCACTTCTGCAACCTGTCTAAACAAAAAGTTCCAACCCCAGTTGAGAAAACAAATCCAAAAACTCCACACTCTGCTCGACTATGGCTAGCCAGATATTAGATCTTCGATCCCAATCAAGCTTTCACTCTAACCATCAGTCGAGACCAAGAACCGCCGTCAGCCCACCACCAACCTCGCCGTCAACTGACCACCAACATCATCGTCAAACAGTCACAAATCCCGCAGCCACTCTTCCATCCTCAGTCGTTCGTCACGCCTCCATTGTCACTCAAATCAACCAAATTCTTACCTCGCCTGTCGTCGACTATCCATTGTCGTCTCCACATATTTGAAGCAAATTTCAAATCGATCAGCGTCGAGAACTTCATGGCCGTGGCAACCACCCAGAAACACCGCTTTGCTCTCGACCCAACGACGGCGAACGACGACCTTTTTTTTTGGGGGGGGCTTAGGATGGAGATTGATTTCAGTTTGAGAAACCGTACAAGGGGCGTTAAGTGCTTTTATGAAAATTGGATAAAGGTATGGTCTAATTTGCAATTTTAAAGAACCTTAATTGTAATATAATTTAATAAATGGGTTAAATATTTATACTATATTATTAAAAAACTTAATAAATATAAAATATTGATAAGTAAATTTTTAAAAACTAAAGTCGACATTAAACTAATAAAACTGAAAACATATAAATAAAGTTTCAAATAAAAAAATTTAAATACGTCAATTTCGATTGCAAGTGTGCAGTCTGAAAGACATTAATGTGCAATTTGTCTACTACTATTGTGCACGACTAATGTTTTAAAACGTGTATCGCGCATTGCGTCGCGTTTTGGTCCTTATACTGCGTAGCGTAAATAGCATAGCACATTGCGTAAGCTATTCGAGCAATTCACTTTTAATACTAAAAATAACACTCAAGCGAATAAATAATTAAAATGGTCTTAAACCATAAATTAACTTAGACATTGAATCTAAAAAATGACATTCAAATATTAATTCTTCAAACAACCAAAATCTAATGTTTAAATAAAGGTTTTTAAAATCTTACAATGATCGGTGTTCTCCAATTGAATTTGGCTATCATCGTCAATTCTATTAAAGTTATGGAGAATTTCACTACAAAAAATAATTAGTACGTTTTCACCAAATTCTTGCATCTCCTCATCATTTGTAGAAAAAAATTGAAGTTTTTTTCCTATTTCACTTTTGACCTTCAGAAACATAAATATCACATTATTCTAATGAACGAAAAGGTCAATCATAACTATGTTGATATCAATTTTTCAAATAATTTTTTTCCAAGAGAAATACGAAACAGGATCTAATAATCACTCAAATTCTCCATGGGAGAAGTTAGGTATAATTTCAAAATTGGTCATATAATTTGGCCACAGTCCAAAAAACCACCCCTATATTGACCACTATCAAAATTGGTCCTATAATTTCAAAATTTAATCAAATTTGGTCCTTTTTATCCGGAACATGGATTAAAATTTGATTTAAAAAGGACAAAATTTGATTATAAAATGACCAAATTTGATTAAATTTTGAAATTATAAGACCAATTTTGATAGTGGTCAATATAGGGGTGGTTTTTTGGACTGTGGCCAAATTATAGGACCAATTTTGAAATTATGCCGGAGAAATTACTCAATTTTGTGCCCTACATTTTTTTTTGTGTATTTTTTTTTTTGTATTTTTTTCCTTATAAATAAGGATTGCCCAAATAGCGTGAGAAATAGCGCAAATAGCGTAAGTAGCGCAAAACATAGCGTAAATTGCGTAAATAGCGCAAATTATAGCGTAAATTGCGTGCATTTTTCTGGAACTGCACAAAATTATATACGCTATGTCGCGTTTTTTGGTAAAAATGCGCCATAGCTCGCTTCGTAGCGCGCGAAATAGCGCTATTTAAAATAATGTGCACGACATTGGTCGCTAATGTGCAGTCTAACATACAATAATAAACATTTTTATCCCAAACCAAATTAAAACTAAACATAAATGGTCGATTTGTTCGGTCGATTATCTGATTTAATCAAAATAAACGAATTAAACTACTATTTATATTCATAAATTTATAATCGTCATTTTAAATTTGAAAGTAAAAACAGATAATCGATCAAAATACAAATTTTTGAAATGAAAATATCAGTTTGGTTAGTTTTATGTCGCTGTTGATATTAATTGACGTGCAATTTGCCTAATAGTATTGTTCAATTACAGCACAAAAAAATGTATAAATAATAACAACAACAACAACAATAATAATAATAATAATAATAATAATAATAATAATAATAATAATAGTAATAATAATAATAATAATAAGTTTTATAGTTAGGTTGGTTCGATTATTTCGGTTTCAAAAAACAAATAAGCCGACATCGAACTTGAATAACCGAAATTTTTAAAGTAAAAATAGATAATCGAATCGAATATAGTGTTTCAAACCAAAATTTTAGTTATTTTGGTCGCATTCATTGTTGTGCATTAGGATAATCATTAATGTTCAATTCGTCTAATACTATCATGCACTCGCATCACATACATTTTTTTAATTATTTTTCCCCAACCGAACAAAAATCAACCCAAACTAATTACTTTACACGATCGATTAATTGAATTGATCCAAACAATTTATAATTTATACTATAAAATTATATTTAGTATTGTAATTTTTACGAAAATGCACATTTTTATGCCTGTTACGCTGACGTGGTTATGTTTATGTTTACTATCGAACGAATTAATGTGGATTGGATCTAACACTATTACGTGGTTTAGTCACTAATGTGTATCTATATATATATTGAAGCAGAGCAGCTGGAATTTTCCCGCTCAAACCTGCTGCATTAATTACTGTAGTAATGGTAAGATAATTTACTTTCACATTATTTGAGAGATTGTCTTAACAATTATTGTATTGTAGTTTAATTAACTTTAATCTTTATATATTAATTGCAATCTTAGGAAATTGTGAATATACATTAAAACAATATATGCAAAAAAAGTTTGTTACAAATAAATGTTTAAATGTTATTCTTAATTATGCATTGGAAAATTGCACTTCAATTTTCATGGATAAATAATTGGCTTCAACTATATCTATTACTTAACATTTTGTTAATTTCTATGAATTATTTATCATACATACAATAAATGTAATTATTTGTTACAATTAGAGACTTATTTTACAATTAATTACATATTGTGAATTTGCATTTAAATTTTCCATTGGATTCTCTCTCTCTCTCTCTCTCTCTCTCTCTCTCTCTCTCTCCCCGTTAGTAACATTGTTACAAATAAATACTTAATATTGTACAAAATTATTTATTTTGAATTTATATTTGAATATATATATATATACATATATATAAGTGAAATAACTTTGAGGGAAAAAATCTTTTAGAAAATACATTAATTACGGGAAATAAGTTATGTCACCTTCTACATATGATCACTCATTGAAATAATAATATACTATTTTATTATACAAAAATAAATAGATTATTATGCATTGGAAGATTGCACTCCAATTCTCATGGCCAAATAAATTTTAAATTAATTTGTTAATCCTTATGAATATAAC